GGAATTTTGTATAAGCGGGTCTAGGGTAGATGGAATCCGATTTCAGATTGATCCACTATACCCCATTCGTAATCACGTGAATGTCCTCCCCTCACCTAATGAGAGAATAAACACCCAACGAGAATTTTGTTTAGTTTGTTATTCACGCCCCTGGAATAAACTCCCAGTCGAAATAAGGCAAATACCGTCCACCCAACGTTTAGGAATCACATTCATCGATTTTTCACTCCATCTCAAATGGCCAAACTGCACAATCATCAGGATGAATAAACAGCTTGTGAGAACTGGCTATATTACTAAACGTCGGCGAAAGATCGCAGTTTACAAAATCTTCTGTAAAGCACTTCGAAATTAGTGTGAACAACTATTCCTAAATTGATGCACTGCCAACCCAGGTTTATATTTGACTCAAAAAGCTCGACTGGGTGCAACATACCAACCTGATATCAGTGTGAAATTTCCAGACTCAAATACCATCAGCAAACTGATTCATCTCAGTGGAACATGCTGACCAGGCAGCAGTGATCACCTTTCAACCCATTTCTGATCAGTACACTGGTTGAGCTTCAAAGCCTGATCAATGGAACATAGGTTTTCAGGTGGAATCCAACATAAGTCTGTCACTCATGGTCCCTCAAGATCTAGGTCCGTTCTTTATCCCCACTGATTTGATTCAGATCATCTCATTGGCACATACTGACCAGACAGCAGTAATCACCTTTCAACCCATTTCTAATCCGTACACTGGTTGAGCTTCAAAGCCTGATCAATGGAACACAAACGTATCACGTGAAAACCTACACCAGGTTTACCAACCATAATCCTTCAAGATCTAGGCTCGTGCCTCCATGTCAATCATCTAATTGATTCTTATCTTGGGGGCATGGTGACAGTTTGGCAATCTTTACCCTTCACATTTGATCGTTGCAATCTGTCTACGGTGCGTTTTTTTTCGGTTAAATATTTTCATATACATGTATTTATATTTTTTTGGGCCTTGCGCATTCCGTATATGATTTCATGACATGGTTTAGTCCCCCTCATTTCTTCTCGGTTGGGTTCTACCCCAGCGCACCTCCCTTTCAAATATATATACTCTCGGGCACGCTCATCGCATATTATCTCACGCAATATGTTGTTCCCCTCTTCCCTTCTCAGCTGGGTAATAACCCAGACTGCCGAGTTGCGCCCTTTTTGTTCCAGATTCGGTTGGTTTGGGCCTGCCGAAGACTTGGGGTCTACACCTAAAATGGAAAATTTGACTCCGGAAATGGTTGTTGAGCGCGGTTTTATCCACCGTTTAGACTGCACGCGTCCGCATCCCGGACCAGGTTGAGGATCACATCTCTTGCCTCACCTACAAAGTGTTTTAAGGTTGGGTATCTGGCGTGTATTCGTCCCATATCAAAGCGACCGACGCCTAAATAATATAAATAATACACCCAAAAAGTCTGTTAACGGTGAAGCCCCGAAGCCCATCGTTCCGTGCTCACAGAAGCATTTCATGCTGTATCAACATTGGAAACTGTTTATTTATAAGCCATTTGGCATCCCTTATTGAATCATTCCACTCTCCTCCAGCTCGCTCGCAGCGCTTCTTCTAAAAATAATAATATTTCCTCTTCACTATACACCTGCTCTTCGAACTCGTTTCCGCTCATTTTCTCTTGAACGGATATTCCAGCTTCCAGTTTTATTTTGCCATATATTTTTCATAAGACAATCGTTACATTGATTTGCTCTGCATTAAACATCACCCCCAATGCTCTGTCACATGTCCTCGTCCGGTTTGTGTTTCATTCTTCACCGTATTGCATATTTATGATATCTTTCATACCCGTTTGGAAATCACGTTCTTACACTCTGTTTCATGCTTCACGGGCTTCGTGAAATATATTATTATTATTACTATTATTATTATTATTATTATTATTAAGTATCTAGCGGAGATACTCCAAGGGCCTCTGTCAAAGCAGTTTCCAGCATCTCTAGATAATAGCCGCATACCGGGAGATTGGAAAGGAGCGACGATAATTGCTCTGCATAAATATGAGTCAAAGTAAATGGCCGAAGACTACAGACCAGTACGTTTGACGTCGGTCTTGTGCAAATGCCTGGAAAGGATTGTACGCAAGCATTTGGCTGCGTACATCGTAGGGCATGAGCTACTAACGCCAGCTAAACATGGCTTTATTAAGAGGAAGTCTTGTCAATCAAATCTGCTGGCCTTTGTCAAGGAAATCACGCTACGCTTAGGCGAGGGACGGTATGGCAAGGTCTGTTACCTAGACTTTAGCAAAGCCTTTGACTCGGTAAGTCATCAGGGGTTGAATCAAAAAATGCAATTTGTAGGTATTGGGGGAGGTTAGAAAGTGGGTATACTGCTTTATAACTAACCGCATCTTCCAGGTCAAGGTTGGTATGCAA